CTTAGGAAAGTCCTAAGAAGGCTGCTAGCAAATGTACCCAAACTTTACCCTGGCAGGAAATACTTTCTTTGAAATTAAATGTGCAGAAAGGCAAGAAACCCATGGGGACTTAACTCCCAACTACACAAATGCAGTTGCATCAATAAGGCTATTTTGATGAAAACAAGATGAACAAAAATTTTGACCACAGAATTAGCCTAACATTATAAATGTAAACACTCAATCCTTTCTAAGCAGTTCTTTGAATATGTAATCAGTTGGAATACAATTTTGCAATGGTTTGTTCTTTCTAGTGCTTTATCACTTGATACCTTCATAAGTCATGCATTTTTCGCTCTTATCACGTAGGTTTTACCTTTCCCCTCTATTTATTTATGCCAATAATTTAACCTTAGTGGCTTAAGTATTTCTTACAGCATTGAAGGAACTTACAGACACTTTCCCAAGAGTAGCTTCTACATCAGCAATCTTCCTTTCTCTCTGCCATTTCCTCTGAGAATTGTTTCACAAGGTCCAACATCCTCTTCTGTAGCATAGCTGAACAACAGATACTCAGCTCCGCAAGACTGATTTCTTTTGTGAATAGTTAACATTTTTTTGATAGCCTTATTTTTAAGAAACATGTTAGCCCTTCTCTTGTTCTTCAGAGATAACTCAAAATAATATCATTTGGTCTATTTGTTCATAAGCCAAAGCTACAGCTGCCCTGTCCTTTTAAACTCAGAGCTACAAAATTCATTTGAGTTCCAGAGATAAATCAGACTTGTCCATTGGTATTACTTAATAAGCCAAAATAATTGAACATTGAACAAGTTTGCCCAAAGGCTGAGTCAGATTATATACAGACACCGTCTACATTATCAGTGTATAAACAGTAAATAACTTTTTAGTATATGTTCATGTCCTGTGCAATATTTGGGACATACTTACACTAAAAAAAAATTTATTTGGAAATCAAATTTAACTAGATATCCTGTTTATTTGCCAAATCTCACAATTCAGGTCCCCATTTATCTACCGAACAGAATCAATAACCTGTTCGTCCAATGTGGCCTCAAGTGGGTTTTGGCGCAGAAGCGCTCCTCTTGGATTACAGGTGTGGTCCCGGTTGCAAAGTTTTGATGTGACGTCAACACTATACAAAAGTAAATGTAACTGCAAATTTTGAAATTCACAGATGGGTCTTTGAAGTCCAGCTCAAAAGCGTGGAGGAGTAGGTTAAAATAAGTCACAGACTTGCCGGTTTGGGGTTTCTAGAAACAAAAGTAACTTGAGGAGTTGAAGGCTTGTGGAAGACCTTTCCAGAGTGGGTGGGAAGTTGCAGGAGAAAAGGCTTCTTCGGGATTTAGAAGGAGAGCGCGCGAGAACCTGAGCTACCAAGTAAGAGCCGAGCAGGGACTGGTGGGCTCCCGACGGGGTGTAGCCAATCAGGGCAGAGATGGGTGGGGCTAGGCTGCGGGAAGGGGCGGACTGCAGGAGAGTTGGCTCCAAAGTGTGGGACTCAGCCAATCGGAACCGGGCAGGCCGGGGCTGGACGGCGGAAGGGGGCGGGTTCGGAGGTGTGTACTGTACGGTGAGTCTTTTAGCCTCACCTGCAGCTTCGCCTCCCTGCACCTGCATCTGTGCTGTTCTCCCAGCACTGCGGACTCGACTCGAGGGTGACGCTTGCTTCGCTCGTCATGGCCTACCCGGGATACGGAGGCGGGGTGAGTCCCAGCCGCTGGGCCGTGTCCCTCTCCCTCGCGGGGTGTGGCGCCCCCTTGAGGGCGGTGCCAGCGTGCCGGGTCCGCACTTGGCTGCTGCTCCCTGCGTCCGCGCCTGGTACTCGGCGGCGCGGGACTCCGGGGGTGTTGGGAGCCAGGGCCGCAGCGAGCATTGAGCCTGTGCTGACTTGGAGCCGCAGGTGTGGAGCCGAGGGAGTGATGTGTGTTTGGAAATTTATTTCCTGGAATGGAGGAACAAGCCACCCTCTTCTTGTTCCAGTAATCTTTTGTGGTACATCCCTCCCCCGCCCCCCACTCAGTGTTGCTAGAGATCCTGTTTCTGAATTTCCTGACCACTTCTTGTTCTCTAAGTTCCTTATGAATAAATTAAGGTGTACGGTAAATAACTCCTAATCTTTACTGTTATACGGAGGGCAATCTGTTCTAGACTCCCCCCCACCTCCTCGCCCCCAGGCGGGGGGAAGTTACTCTTTCTTATAACTTTTAGCCTATATCACCTTTGGGAGTTGCAAGTTATAATCGTAGAGTCCTGGTGGCTAGCCCCTTCTTTTCAGAAAGGAACCCAAATCTTTAGTATTGATGTCAGTGATCTGCAAAGTGGGTTGAGCACGCTGTGTTAACAGAGTTAACATTAGCTTGATCCATTGCGGTGTGGGTAGAATATATTTTCTATTTTTATTTCTGTTTGTTTTTTGCCTAAACAGAGAAACTGTGTTTTACTGATTTTAACATAGGACTTGACTTTGGGCTATGGTTGTGGTCTTCAAAAGAGTTACTCCTACCCCTGGGAGTTCATGGTGGTGGTTGTTGTTCTTGTTCTTGTTTTAGGATATGAATTTCCAGGTCCTCAACTTCCACACATACTTGCTTCTAAAATTGATTTGCTTAAGACTTGCCTTAAGACTTAAGACTTGCCTTAAGACTTGCCTCTATTCCCTGTGGCACCTTCCGCTTTGTAATGCATACTCCTCCTCAGTCCTTAAATTTAGGAAGGAAGTTTAAAGTGCCTAAGGAAAGGAAAGTCCCTTAAAGATTAGTCAAGATAGCATAAACCTGTGGGTCTTTAAAAACGTCCCTAGCGTAGACGTATTTTCATTTGGTTGAAACTATCTGTTAGAAGTGTGATATATTTACTCCTCTTGGTATGCTCCTAATTCATATATGTATGTCAGAGTGAGGTGGCAAGAGTAGTACATTTTCATTCAAATAATTTGGTGCTTCCTTACCCACTTTTGTCAGAGTACTTGAATTCGATGGAGAGTTCCACGACACGATAAAGAGAACGTCTGTATATATTTTGAACATTTAAATACCCTTTTCCATGAATTTAAAATAAACATCTCTTTTCAGCTGTTCTCATGCTCATTATTAATCGCTGGAAAGAGAAGTACCCTCAATAGCTGAAGCAATATAGACTACAGACGCTGATTTTAAAAAATGTAATTGAAATATTTTAAGATACATTGGATAACATTTTGGGATAAAACTTACATGATTTCTTTACTAGGAGAATATTAATAAGATAGTTGAGACGTTTATAAATCATGTTAAATAAAGGAAACCCACACCTTATTAATGTTTCTTATATTCTTTTAACAAAATATAAAATGTCAGCTGCTAGACCTAATTGTTTTGATAGTATACTTTTATCTAATTAAGTGTATGATTTATCTCTGTAGGAGATGCATTTCCAATAGATTTTTACTTTCTTCTTTTAAGTATTGTTTATAAAAATTGTGTTGTTTTCTTTTTTTTTTTTTTTTTTACTAATTGTATATGAATAAAAATTATAACTCAATATAAAGGACGTTTTTTGTTTCTCATTTTGGTCACAGGAAATGAAACAATCTAAAACTTTGTTACATGTTTTTATTTGTACATGTATTATACAAGCTTCAGTGTTTTCAATAATAAAAATACATTTTAAGCACAGGAAACTTACACAGAATAGATTTTCACACAAGAAATAGCATACAAAATGAATTCAAAGTGAAGAATCTGTCTTTAGAAATCACTTTTAATCTGTTTTGCCTTCCCAATTTGCAGCATTAACTTTCCCCAATCTCATAATTTGAGAACCTGGTGGTCAGATTAATGATGGTTACAAATTCTTTACCGCTCCCCTTATCGAAAAGCACAGACTATTTCTCCACTTCCTTCAATCTGGGTTGGGCCTGTTTCACCTTCATCTGGTAGAATACAGTAGAAAAGGCACCATGGCGGTTCCAGACTTATTATTGTAAGAGGACTGGCAGCTTCTGTTTCTCTCTCTTAGAACCTGACTGCCATGCTGTGAAGAAGTGGAAGAGCCATGTGAAAGGGCCCATGTGGAGGAGAACTGGGGTCCCTGTCCAACAAGGTTCATCCCTAAACACGGTTTACATAAATTCATATTTCAAGTTGTCCTCTTGATAGTTTCAAATGAGTCAAAATTGATCATTGTCATTATTACTACATAATGTGGGTAAGGAAAGGCTTAGACAATATTTTCATGTCCAAGCCTTTCATGTTTCTGTGCATGTTTTTAATCTTTACCATTGCCATTTTGTGAGGGCTTTAGTTAAAACTAGATCACATGATCTATAACAGCAGAGAATACCACATATATAAACTGTAATAAGTCACAATAGGCTGGAAAGAAACAAGTGAGAGGCTAGCATATGGAATTCTCTCTCATCCCTCAGGATTCTACCACAACCACTGCAGTTTCTTTAAACATTTTGCTTCCTGCCCCTTAAAAGATTTTTGAAAAACTATATACCCTTTTCCCATATTTTATATTGACATATAAAGTTTTTATTTTAAGTTTAAATAGTTGTAAAGAATACAATACCCAATATATTGTAAATGTTGACACTTAACAAAGTTTCATTGTATTTACACATATATTCTTCTAAGTATGTGTCTTGAGGGTTACTTCTTAGTTTTACTTTAGGTAAAATCTTGCATTGTTTTACTTTTTGTTTACTTCAGTAATGTTGGTAAACATTTTTAAAAATTGTACATGTTCCTCTGTTAGATTAAGTTCTTAGAGGCTAGCAGCTTTCTTTTTTCTTTTACACTTCTTTTAATGCTGGGTAATATATGTTAACGAATTGAATTATGTCTTAATGTAGGACATCTGACATTTTGTAGTTAAAGTTTTTGTGATAGGATTAGAAGCTTTGGTAACTGTGTTTACTTTTTGATGGGCTTCTAATAATTTCTTTTGATCCAACTTTTATAGATAATAGGTAATATTTATATTACTAACCTTCTCCTGTTTCACTCTTATAGTTTGGAAATTTTAGCATTCAGGTGCCAGGAATACAGATGGGAGAGCCAGTGCCAGAAACAGGTCCAGCCGTACTCCTCGATGAATACTGTGGGTTCCCAGCATTTTCAGACGCTTATTCCTCAGCTGGTGACTCCGTGTATACTTACTTCAGTGCTGTTGCTGGACAGGTGAGATGCTAAATTTATTGCATAAATATGTCTTTGAAAATTATTGTTTAAGAGAAATGTCAGCTATTTTACTTAGAGTATCATTTTAAATGTATATAAAATTTATATTTTAAACTTATCTAGACTAATTTTTTTCCTGAGATCAGAGATGAGCATAGTCCTAATTATTTCATTTTAAAAGTCTGTTATTGTGATGCTTGATACATTGTTCATTTGACTAAAAGAGGAAACATTTTTTTTTCATAGTGGGGAAATCTGATTCTTTCTTACTTAGTATGCTTGCCTTACTGAAATTCTTCTACAAGGGGCTTCTCTTACTAGTCACTAAACACTCCACCAAAACTTAGATATTATATCTTCTTATGAGTTATCATTTTTCTATCACGTAAATCTTTTTATTTCCTTCACTCTGTTTGACATTTAGGAGCATCAGACTCTTCCTGAGTGATAGATAACACAAAGCTAAGTAGGTTTAGCCTGCACATTCTTTTATAGCATGCAAAAATGAGTATTGGAAATTTGAGGAAAGTAGGAAGTATTTTTAAAAATTATAAGGAACAATATTTCTAACTTGGGCCTCACTCCCATTAAAAAAAAATCTCAGTTACAACCTAAGTATGTCAAACAATATGATTGGAAATCACTTCAGCGTGTCATAAATTTATTCAAGTTGAGAAATTACATTTTTTCACAGGTAAAGTTTTTTCATTTATAGTAATTTTGATTTTATATGGCTAGTAAAATTTCCAGATTATCAAAATAATCATGTTGGGATTTATTAAATAAAAATTAAAGGAGATAGTATGTTATGATGAGGTATGGTATTAGGATGTTATTTGTTTCCAGTAAATTTGAGCGATTATTTAAAAGATTGACTTTATTGTGATCAATAGGGAAGTGTGAAACTGCCAGTTCAAGTACATGAATTCTGTAGGTGAATTGTTACTGATGATAATGTGAATACTTTTGTCACGGGAAGCTTTTCTTTTACTCCTACATAACTGTAATGCTATACCACAGCTTATTCTTTTCTAAGTAATTTTATGTATATTTTTCATGTGAAATTTCAAGGAAAATTAAGCAAAGAGGATATGTATTATACCCCTTTGTATCAGTTATTAGTTGTATTTGACAGAAGTATTGAGTAAATATTCAAGATCGGAAGGAATACAATATTATTAGATGCCAATGTCTTCCAAATTAATTAATAAATAATATAGTATTATTTGAGTCAAATTCCAAAAGGTTTATTTTTCTTTTTTCTTTTTGGCACTTGCTGCAATGATTCTAAAGTCTGTCTTGTATACTATGTTATTGAGAATAAATATTAAATTATAATATATAAATGTATTATAATTATTAATAATTGTGATAGTGTGGTCCTAATGTAAAAACAAACATATATACTGAAAAGCCCAGAAGCTTACCTGTGAATTCAGTATGTGGTAAAGGTAGCATTTCGTATCAGTGGGGAAAGAATGATTCCTGAAGTAACTATCCTGAAATAATTAACAATTTATCTAAAAGTAAATGTAAATCCTCAGCCCATACCATATAGTAGCATGAATTCCAGATATATTATTGAAAAGAAGTTGTATTGGTGTTTATCTCCTATTGTTGAAATAAATGAGCTTGTCTTTTTTTTTTTTTTGCTGCTTTAGTATGTATTGCAGCACCTGCTATATTTGCGTTTTTGTCTACAAAACTTCTTAGAATAGTCATGAACTAAAATAGTTGTGTGTGTTAATGAAACATTTGGGAACATCTTTTTAAGATGTGCGTTTTTTTTTCTTGATATGTTTCATTTACTTGTTTAACAATTTGTGGGGGAAATTGAAAGCTTTTCTGTGTTTATGGAATACAGTGGATTGGTGCATGGAAACTGGGGACCAGAGAGGATTTGGAAAAAGAGATCTACATGAAAATCATCTTGAGGGAGTTGGGGCAATGTATCAAAGAGGAGATTTGTAAATTGTGGATGGTTGTGGGAGAGGCTCAATGATAAAACAGATTAGGAAAAGGTAAAGAAACTGGCAGAATGGAGGTGCCAATACCAGACTAATGGGCAGAAACAAATTCACTCTTGAGTCTTAGCTGCAGGCCTTACCTCTTTTCTTTTATAATGGTCAACAAAGATTTATTGATGTAGGTAGAATTTTATAGAACTTTAATAACATTTTATTCATTCCGTTGAGTGTTCACTAGGTCTAATATGCTTTTCTAGGAATAGACAGTATACATAGAATTAATAGAGATGGCAGACATTCTGTTTTGGCTACCCCAATTTCATTTACCATTTTATTTTTTATGGTAAATGTAAAAGGTAAAAGGCTAACCCTTTACCTTTTATTATGTATTAGAGGCTAGGGGACTATAATACTCACCATCCCAGATACCTTTGTACCTACTAAAGGAGGCCATGTGCTGTAGGACTGACCATTGACACGTAGGTGCAGTATCTTTGGAAAATCTTTTTACCCCAAATGAAAAAAGCCTTACTGGGAGCAGCCTTGGGTGTGGCTGTTTTTGCCCCTTCATTCTTCCTACCTGGAAATGGGACTTGAGGTATGGAGGTGCAGCAGCCATCTTGTGACCCTGAGGCAACAGGCTTGAGATAAAGACCTATAGATAGGGAATGTGGAAAAATGTAGAGATTGATGACAAGTCTAAGTTGCCATACAGTCCTGTTCTGCCTAGCCTCAAACCTGTTGTATGAAACAATAAACCCCTATTGGTTTAAGCATCTTCAATAATATTTTCTGCTGTTTGCACCTAAATGGTACCCTAACTATTCTACTCATTATACCATTGTCATTTTAAAGGATTATACTGGGAATAAGTATTATACTGAGAATAATTCTGTTATCTCTGTTTGACTATGTAATATATTCATCATATAAAATTACAACTTAAAGTATATGAACTGGACATATATTTGGAGACTTTTTTTGACTTCTGAACTATTTCAGCATTTTAATTGTTGGCAATAAATTTGCTATGTTTGAACTATTTGATCCTTTCCTTAAATTTCCCAGTCTTGTGCTTTTGAATAAATAAACTCCATGAAGACAGGGTTCTGGTCGTATTTTCCCTACTTGACAGATAGATATCAGGAATATATAAACATTTGATAAATGCTTTAAATGGATGCATTAACTATCCCATTTTCAATTTTTAGTTTTTTAGTCTAAATATTTAGTCTAAATACAGTCTAAATATTTAGACTAAAAATATTTTCAATTTTTAGTCTAAATATTTAGACTGTATTTTTTCATATGTTGAGTTCTACCTAGCTTTGACTGATCAGGTGCAATATCTGACTTATGTATACTGCTCCTAGAACCCAACTACCGAACTCACATCTACAGCCATATCCTTTTTTGATGGGCCTCATAATGATGCTCTATGAAAAACATCCAATTAAAGGTTTCCACAGTGTTCTTATTTATAGGATTAAGTATTCTAAACAGTAAGGATTAAATCATTGATTAATTCGGGGAAATTCTGGTTTCTGTTTTCATACATACACACACGTGCATCACAGTAATACCAACAACTTTAACTTTTGTATGCACACACTGCTTCTACTTTTCCACATAGCAGCTGTGATGTGGGCATGACACATGTACCTTTGCATTATAGATAAGTAAGCAGAGACTCAAATTGAGTAACTGAACAAATAGGACTCAAAGTTGGATATTATTTTAAAATCTTGCTGCCTAACTAAAGGCAATTGATTTTTATTAATTATCTACCTGATACTCTTGTAATTTAATTAGGACATTCAGCTTTCTACCACTAATGCTACCTAATTCAGTTAAGGGTTTATATAGTTAGCCTGATTATCAGCTTCAACTGTAGGTAAAGAAATCCAAAAGTATCCCTTGGATTTTATCCTTGTAGTTTAGGAAGACATTGCTTATTTGTGAGTTAGTCATTAAGATAACATATTTTCATAACATCTCTGAAGTGGTATACTAGAAGAATGCTTTCTGATGGCAATGAATAACTTCTAGCAAAGCTGTTACGGTTGTTTTTCTAACTTTAAAAATTCTGTAAAGAGCACATGTAAAGCAGAGTTCCATTCATTGTACAGATTTTTAAATGTAATCCACATTTGAGTGAGAAATTCCAATATTTTTAACCTTTTGAAGTAGTAAATGAACATGGTCACAAACAGTCAGAAATGCCAGCAGTTTAGTGAAGAACCAGAGGTAGTTGTTTTCATTCTACCAACTAACCTTCTTTGTACTAGATACTCTGCTACAGCCTGGGAATACAAAGATGAAGGAAACTGAGACACTGACTCAGATGATCTCTATGTAGCCAGGGAGATACAGACAAGTAGAAAATGATAAGAATGTAGGGAAAGATGTGCTAGAGGTGAACAGGTGAAGATGATTGCAACACCAAGAGTTTGTACTTGTGCTGTTTGCCGAGAACAGCACTGCTCAAAGTAAATATAAGATGAGCCACAAATGCAAAGCACTTAGTTTTAATGTCTCACAGCATTATTTCAAAAAGTAAAAAGAAATGTGAAATTAATTTTAATGCTTTATTTAGCCCATTATATAAAAATCCTAACATTTCAACATTTAATCAACATACAAATTATCAATTATATTTTACATTTTTTTTTTTACTAAATATATGAAATCTAGTGTGTATTTTATATGCACAGAACATTGTAATTCAAAATAGCCACATTTCAAGTGCTCAATGGAGCCTATAGCTAATGGCTGCTGTATAGAACAGCAGGAGCATAGAACACTCTTCCTTCAGATATCTGCATAGCTTGCTCCTGTGCCAAAAAGGCCTTCTGCCGTCTTTTAATTTGACGAAAAATTTTCTAACCTGTCCCCTGATCTAAAAATATGGCTAATTTTTAAAGCTATAAGTTTCTAACTACAGAATTTCAAATTTAGTAAGCAAGATTCCTAGAAAATACATGTGACAGAGAAAGGAGCACTTAGATACTCTTGACTAGGTAATGCCATACATGTGGTCCATTAAGAAGAATGCTGCTTAGTATTTTGTAATTTCTATTGGAACAACTGCAGTTTTGTAAGGGGTTCTTTTGCCAAAAATCCATTAGAATATGAGTGCTAATAATATTTCTTAGAAGTAATTTAGAAAAGTTTTTTGTTTTGTTGTTTCTTGGATCTCTTATGAAGAGTATGTTTTCAATTTGCCTCCTTGATCCTTCATCATAGCTGACGTTTTGCATTTGTGCCAATGTATGTGATGGTTCCAAAGGAATTACTTATTTTTGTCAAAAACAGGATGAGGTACTGAATCATAATGAGAATATTCAACCTATTTCATTTCCATTGTGATTTCTTGTTTGCATTTTAAAACTTTATTTTCTGTAATAAGTTCAGGCAAGATATGTTTGGGCAGTAATCAGAAGAATAGCTGCAAGATACAGGGGGACTCTAGAATTTTGCTAGGGGTAATGGCGGGGGAAAATATATATTCCCCTTCCAGTTAAAGCTTCAGTATTATTTATAAATAATCTCTTCCCAAAACAGCATGAGTGGGGATGTTTTCAAGACTTTTCTGAACATATTTTAGGCATTTTTCTAACTGTTTAAAATAGAAGTAGAACAACTCTTATGAGATTATCTTGAACCATTATAGAACAGGGTAATTGTGCTATAATTCAGAAGTAGAAGAAATTATTTATGTTGTATGATATTTTGTAATATGCCTTTGTTGTCAGTAATTACTTCTAGTATTTTGTAGTTAATTATAGAGTAATGTTTCAAAGAATGCATATGTCTTGATTGGCCTAAAACAGTCAATTAACATTTTAATATGCTTTTATACAATTGCACATTAAATTAGGTCATAATTATTTTTAAACAGGATGGTGAACTGGATGCTGAAGAACTTCAGAGATGTTTGACACAGTCTGGAATTAGTGGAACTTACTCTCGTGAGATCTTTTTTCCCCTTTTGTTGAAATTGTAATAGGAAATTTATTTTCTTTCTTTTTTGTTCCAGTAATTAAAATGTTTAAAAAATTATCACAGTTATACATGCACATAGTTTAAGAAGTCAAATAACTGTAAAACTCGTTATGAAAATAACTGTTCATTGTGCATTCCTGTCTCCTCAACATTAACTGCTCATAGAGGAGACTTCTTTTAACTTTTAAAAATCTGATTCTTTTGAAATTTGCTTCCATATTTCAAGGTAGAATATTTTTTCACGATTGATTTTTGGATTTTATGATTGTCTATTGATACCCTGCTATGGAAGATGAGGATTTCACTTTATTTTAACCTTAAACTCTCCTCTGTCTCTGCACTCCACAGAGGAACATTTCCCATCCTCCTGTCCTTCTAATGTAGTTATAATATATAATAATTTTTGTTAGGTATGTTAGTCTTTATTTTTACTATCTGAATGCTGCTTATAGCTGTATCTTATGATAATGCATGATTACTTTTCCTTTTTATATAATGTTTTGCTTTTCTTGAAATCAGTAGTTGTCGGGCATTCTTTCTTTTTCATTATCCTAGAACTCTGGGATATGCTGTTTTTTATGTGTGGCTGTCATACTGGGATTCTTTCACCATTAATTCTGGAGCTGGTTTCCCCATTTCTCTTGAGTTAGATCTCCTTTTTACTCCATCTCTTGTTGTCTTCTTTTAAAAAATTCATTATGTTATTTTAGTGAAATATATAGTTAAGTAGCTTCTTAATAAAAAAGAAAAAATATGACCGGGCGCAGTGGCTTATGCCTGCAGTCCCAGCACTTTGGGAGGCCGAGGTGGGCGAATCATGAGGTCAAGAGATCGAGACCACCCTGGCCACCATGGTGAAATCCCGTCTCTACTAAAAATACAAAAATTAGCTGGGCGTGGTGGCACGCACCTGTAGTCCCATCTACTCGGGAGCCTGAGGCAGGAGAATTACTTGAACCCGGGAGGCAGAGGTTCCAGTGAGCTGAGATTGGGCCACTGCACTCCAGCCTGGTGACAGAGTGAGACATCGTCTCAAAAACAAACAAACAAAAGAATACATGGGAGATAAATTTTTGAGAGCTTATTTATCAAAAAATGCTTTCATTCTACCTTCAGAATTGATTGGCAAGGTATAGAATTCTAGGTTACAATAATTCTCATGTAGAATTTTGAAGGTATTGCTCCATTGTTTCTAGTGTCCCTTGTTGCTTTTTCTCCTTCCTGCCTGGAAGTGATGTGATTTGTTATTCCTCTCTGGAAACTTGTGAGATCTTTGTCTTTAGTATTCTGAGATTTGATGGTGAAGTGCCTAGTTGTGTTGTGTGGGGAACTCAGAGGGTATTCTCAGCCTAGAAACTCCTTTGCTTTAGATGTAGGACATTTTCTTCAATGATATTTTCTGTTTCTGGAATGCTTTTTGTTTTCACTGGGTTTTCTACTTTTATCATCTTTTCCCTCCTATCAATTTTTTTTTCTGAACTTTTTGGGAATTTTCCTCAACTTTATTTCCTAAACCTTCTATTGAGTCTTTAATTTCTGCTTTTCATTAAAATCCAAGAACTTCTGTTCTATTTTCGTGAATGTGATACTGTCCCTTATCTCTCTGAGACTATTAATGTATTTTCAAAGTTTTTTCTTCCTATATAACCTTTGTTTTTTCCAGATTGTTTTTTCTCCTCATTTTGTTTGTTTTGGGTGGTCTTTCATGTTAGGTGCTTTTCTCAGTTATCTGATGATACTGTCGTGCTCATATTTTAACTAAAATACTGGTGAGAAGCCCTGAAATCATGGTTAAGCATTAATTGTGGGCTTCAATGTATGGTGGTTTGGCTGGGCAGTTTTGTCTTGTAACTCTGGGTGTCGGTATCTTTAGGGATTCCCTTTTGGACTGGGTTTTCAGTTGACCTTCTGCCTGGAAAGGAGAGGTGGGCTCAGAAGGGTTCTCAAGTCTTTTGTAAATTGTCCTTTAATTGCCTTACCTTTAGAAGATAGCCCTGTCTCAGCTCTGCTATCTTGCATTTCAGAGACCTCTCCAGAGAATAAAATTCCAGACTTCTGCTGGGTTGGAAGTAGGTGTAGCATCCATCCAACTGAACTGAGGCAGGGAGGGGATATGAGGCTTAGAATGCTCCTTAGGTAGACTTTCAGCCAATTCTTCTGTTTTTGTCTCCACTTTCACACCCACTTTCAGAAGTACTGCCAATTCTTAGGCATTTGGGGTCTTTTCCAAGGGTTGCTTCTCAGCTTTTCTCATTACAAGTTCAGGAATCCATTTTCTCAAATCTAGGTTGGTTAACTCACATCCATCAACTCTTCAACTTGCAAAATTTTGTTCCTTTGTTTCCTGTCTAATTCTCTTTTTCTCTGGTTTTATGCCTTAAGTTAGTTTACTCTCCATTCTAATGGACTGTGGGGAGGAAGTGAAAAATCTGTCAACTTTCCTGAAAAGTCTGTCTCTTCACTCCTTGTCCTAAATATTTTTTCTTATACATACACATTCCTATTCTGATATTGAAGATCTGCTTGTTTGCTGATTCAGATTTAGCCATCTATTGTCATTAATTCAGATTCTCCCACTTTATGAATGTCTGCCAAGTTGATTGTAAAGCAAAATAGATATTATTTACTTGCCCAAAAGAGGAAATACCATTCCAGAATTTCTCATGTAATCCTCTCACTCTGATAGGTTTATAGCCTTAGCTTTATAAACTTGGGAAACTACCTTTCTGGGTCGCAGTTTCTTCCTTTTTAAAAACTGGAACTACTATACGTTTAGCATGTTTATGTGAAATCATGTAACATACACCACCTTACTCATATTAAGAACACATCGAGTATCTATTGAGTTGTCAATTTGAAAATACTACAACTAACAATTCTAACATCGATACTATATTAAACATTTAAAGAAAATCAGCAATTTTAACTTGTGGAATGTTTTATAATTTTTTCTTTGGTGGGTCTAAAATTTAGCGGAAATAATTTTCTTCTTTTATAAAATGTTAAAATGTTATGTATAAAATAAAATATTCATTCATTCATATTAACAAGCTGCTATTAAACACTTTGTAAGTTTAAACTGTACTAACATGATATTTTCTTTATCAGGGCATGAAATTAGTCTTGGGATATGTCAGCATATTAGTTGAATGTAATTGGATTAGAAAAATTAGAAAAGGATTAGAAAAATTGAATTTTATCAATAGGTCATCAGTTGTAGTTCTATAAATATGAAAGTGTTAATATTTCGAATTACCTCTGGTTTTAAGATAGCTTGTATTGATATTTTCTTCCTTTTTTCTCCCCCCAACCCCTGAGAAAAACCAGCTGCTTCAATTCAGATGCTCATTTTTTTTTACTTGGTCTATTACAATAAACTACCAATGGACTTACCTATTTCCAGTATCATCTCACTTTATATTTTATTCATTGTAAACTAAAGTTTCTAAAATGGAAATTTTAGAATTTCCCTTTGCTTCTGAAACACTTCAGTGGCTTTCATGGGCCCAAACTTTTTGGGGTAGTATTCAAAAGTTTCATGATTTGGCCCTCATTTGCCTTTCTGATGTCATCATATGTCACTCTCTCCCATGTACTTTAACTCAAGTTTTGTGATCTCTGGGTACATGTCAAACTTCTACTTTAACTCCACTTGTCATTTGTGTTATAAAGACTGGAAGCCTTCCTCTTCCCCAGGCTTGGGTGAAGCCAAGTGCTTTACATACCTGGAGTGTCTTTGTCACAGTAATTTTCAGTTAGTTTATAATTGCTCATTTAATTACCTTAGTCCCCTCACTAGATGTGAGTACTTCGAAGGCAGTAATTTTTTTAAAAACAATGGGTACTTAACATTCAATAATAGCTTGTTGATTGTAGTGATCTTATATATTTTGGCAGTTTTTAAATGTTTTATTTTGAAACTAGAGATTGTCATAATTTTACATAGATAAAGTTGGGCATACTCTAATTTAAATATTGAATATGTTTTACAGCCTTCAGTTTGGAAACCTGCAGAATTATGATTGCCATGTTGGATGTATCCTTGAATAGAAATAGAAAATACTAGAATAAAGAGTAATTGCTTTTTGAATATCAAGCCAGTGGTTAGATTTCAGTGCCCATAGTAAACTAGTGAATTTAAAAATACTTTGTAAGATCCTGTTTAAATTCTAGGCTTTTTAGTTTTTATACGGAAATCTATTCATATAATGAGTTTGGCTAACTCTACAGAAGCATACTCATGTTTTAGTCAACGATTTAGAGTCAGATAAACTCAGGTATCAAAATTTATTTTTGTTAATAAAACTATCAGAGAGATTACACAGGAAAACTGGGATTTAGTGAATTCAAAGAGCTATGGGCAGCTCTTAATGCCTGGAAGCAAAACTTCATGACTGTTGATCAAGATGGAAGTGGCACAGTAGAACATCATGAGTTGCGTCAAGCCATCGGTCTTATGGGTAAGAACATTAACATTCTTTAGAATCTATAAAGCTCATCTTTGTTCTTTGATTAGATGAACTTAATTGCTTCAATTTACTAAGTAATAAAGGGATATATTTTTTCACCAGCAAGTTCCTTTGTTTGTTTTCAAAGTTGTAGGTAAATTCTGACCAAAGACCTCAACAAAACCATTTTAATTATGATTTTTTTTCAAAAGATGATCTTCCATACATGCATACATTTTGAATTTCTTCTGCTGTGTTTAAATTTATTTCTTTGTTAGTACTTACCACTTATATTGTATTCTTTTATAACTTGTCAGGGTCTCTAATTGGGAGCCAAAGCTTGCCTCCGTCAGTCAAAAGTCTGTACAAAATAGCTTTTCAGCAGTAAAAACTATGTTTTTGTTTGTCTTTGTTTCCTTACATAGTACAGAACACATAGCAGGTGCCAAAATACATCAAGTTGGAAAGGTTGCATTTTAGAGTAATTTAAAAGTATATAACTTTATTCTTATCATACCTCTCTCTGATAAGCTGATGTTCTTAGTGTACTTTCAAAATGGATAACATACAATGGTGTTTAATTTGCTTAAAGTTAATGCAGTTTTAAATAGCTTTATGAATTGTTTTTATGCTTGTGATTTACACTCTTTTCTAAACAAAATATATTTACATGAAAATTAATTTTTTGGAAGTTAAAATCTGAACCCAATGGAAGTGGACTTACCTCAAATTGCAATTTAAATAAGTCAAATTAGTGATTTGTTTGGTTTTGTTTTATAAATAGACATTTTAATTTAGTAGTAGGGACAGTCCAGCCCATGAAACATACGTAGTTCAATTATAGATCCTTGATACCTAATGGATTAAACCTGGACCTTAATTCAGCCTAATGTTGGGAAAGTAATATAATCTTTGGCAGAAAAGAAAACCTCCAGAGTTCCAGTTAGGCAGTAGAATGTAAAAAGGGTTTTCTGGATTGTCCAAATTTAAGGTCTTCATATATATTTTAAAATATTCAAATTATTTTGCTGAGAATACTATGAGAAAATCTAGGAATTTTATAAGTACCGCATTTAGCTTGTAACTCTGTAATATGAAGTTCAAAATATATTTGCATATAATTACATTAGTTTGCATGTTTTACTGCTTCTTTCAATTTATACGTTTCCTGCATTACATTCTATTGTAGCTACATGTATAATTATCTCCTATTGCATTTATTTTGGTTGTTTTTACCTTTGAATGGGTGAGTGTCATTTGCTCAAGTCTACAAATCCGGTAATGTATGGGCAATAATAGTGGGCTACTATTCTTCTTAGTAAAATGTATACATCTCATTAAATGCATAGGGCCATCTAAAAGGGTACAGCAAGTAGAATATATTAATTTATGTTTTTATTCTTTTTTATTCTTTTTAAATTTTAGATTTTATGTATATTTTAAAATGGGAGTAATCAAACAATAATACATGTATAGAATTTAAAATAATTTAACACATACTGGGAGTGAATGATCAAAAACTTCTTTCTCATCGATATAAGTATACAGTCAAAAATTTTGGACATCACAGGACTACTAGAACAAAGAACCAAGGAAATCAGTGAAATAGTGAGAAAGCTGTTATAAGTGTTACAATGTATGAAGAAATACTCAGAATTCCAGGACAAAAAAGAATAATGTTTTTCTGTTTTTTCCCCTTTAATCATGTTGATCCTCAAATTTCCCTCACTTATAAAAGATACTTTCAAGCAATATGTTCAGTGGGAAATATCATTTGAATAACAAAGATCATTGGTAATCCTTGCCTTAATGTTTTTTAAGAACTATACAAAGTTACATAATTGAAATATTGAAGCATTAAAACCCATGAAATTAGACATTATTTCAAAATAACAATATATGATAAATTCATAAGAAGAGAATTATTTTCTTTTCCTTAGCTTTGACTTTATTACAAAGTTAGAATTGTGATATTTATATACCGATTAACAGGATTAACAGTGAAGCCTTGGTCTGATCAATTTCAATATTAATGTGTTTTGTTTCTAATTATATTTTTGTGGAATGAATTTTGAAAGTTATTTTATGACTTGATTAATGAGAAGGCAATCTTGCAGTGTTCTTATGTTATTTACATTTAGAAGTTTTAATTTATCTCTTTTTTAGGTTATAGGTTGAGTCCTCAAACAATAACTACTATTGTTAAACGTTACAGCAAGAATGGCAGAATTTTCTTTGATGATTATGTTGCTTGCTGTGTGAAGCTTCGAGCATTGACAGGTATTGACTATTTAAAACTAGGTGTACAGTATTATGTAGCTATTTTTCTTGAATAATGTGTCTCGTTTCCTCCAGCAAGTTTATAATAATATGTGTTTTCCCCCTTTATTCATTGTTAAATCTAATTAGTTTTAAGGCTTTAAATATTAAGGAATATAAATGATAAAAACTTGTTATATGTTATTTTTGGAAGTTTTTCTTCATATCTCTGTTGCCTGGGCTATTCAATCACTTCTAAGATTTAATTGAATATGAAATTATTCTTTTTTTGTACCTGGGGGCACTAAATATTTGAAACTATATATTTTAAATTACAATAAAAAAGTAATTTCTTTGTTTAAAGATTTCTTTAGGAAAAGAGACCACTTGCAACAAGGGTCTGTGAATTTCATGTATGATGATGTGAGTATCCTGCTTTTGATATTTATACTGCATTCTAGATGCATTCTTAGTTAGCAAAAAAATTTAAGTGATCCCAAGTACCGGTACTGGAAATAATATATTTTGTATGCCATATACTTTTCCATATTTTTCAGCTTAACACAAATATAAGATTAATATTGGCATAGATGCCAAACAATTTGACTTCATGTTAAATTGTAAATATACTTTTCAATTTTTATGACAGGTTTTTTGAATTTAAAAAAATGAATCACTTTTAAGGGCCAAAACCACTATTATTTTTAAAAAGGGTAGTTTACTGTAGTGATATTTTTTCTCAGGGAGGGAAAAATTTTAATCCATGACACATTATTGAAGCTGTTCATTTCTCATTTCAAATGGTTACTATTAACTTGATATTCAGGGTTTTTTAAAATTCAAGCTATAAGACAGTTATATTTTACCTGTGCTTTAATGTTTCAGGGTTTTTGTTTTGTTTTTCTTATACTTACTGATGAAAGTTATGTGGTCAACATTACTGGTATTTATTGGCTTGAATTATAAGCCTTGGAAACAAACTTTTCCCTCTTAAGAAAATGCTCTTGTGGAATATAGTCAAAAACAATGAAAAACTATTTTATTCTTAATAGATAATAATTTTACTTACGTATTAGTTTTTGCAGGGCACTATGGCAATTTGAATGTTCAGAATTCTAAACCTGAAGAGACACTGTGAATTCTTTTGCTTGGAAGAAGTGAACTGGACTACTTTAAAACTTTTAAGCGTTTTCCATGTTCTTCCTACCCGTTAAGTCTCTCTTCACTTTCTGTGTGTTTTTATTTTAGCAGATAGTTCAAAACAATAAAAGATTTAAAAAAATTTTGGTGTATTACTGCTTTTGGATAAGTTATTTTACAAATATGTGCATATTGTCATAAAATATTGGTGTATGATTGATTTAAATAATGCTTAGCCTTAATTTTTAACAATGTAAATTTAGAGGAATGTACTTTAAAAGATAGATTGTATAAGAAGCCAGATGATGAAAGCCTAGAAAAAACTAATTTATACTTATCTGAAGGTTACAAATCAGACTTTAAATTTTGTTTGTAGTTGGTGGTGTTTGAGGGCCAGCTAGAAATGAAAGCCTGGATTTTGTGCTGTGTTCGTAATATAGTTTATTCCTTGATCAAATAATCAGAGAAAAAACACTTAAAGGTCTTTGTCCGTGAAGAAGAAAGTTATCTCCCCAGTCAAATCTGTGGTGGGATAAGACTACAGAAGGCATTATTTTTTCCTTTTTAATTTTTTGTTGTGTATATTTTTCTTCAATATGTTTTATTGTCTTCTCTAAGCAAAAAGTTCTTAATAAACAAAGTATTTCTCTCTGCACCCTATTTCATTAGTGAAGACATAGTTCCCCTAAAATGGCATCCTCCTCTAAATCTAGACTTTTTGGAAATGGTGTATATTTTTGATGATATGTCAACATTCAAAATTGTCCTAATTAAATTGTTGTTTAAATGTAATTTCAGCTGTTTATAAAGTTAAAAAAAAGTAATTAACCACTCCAATTGCTCAGAAATTATACATTTGACTTATTTGACAATATTAACATTAGTGGTGGCTTTGCCGTTAAAAACCCAGTAAGTATATTGAGTGCATCTATGTGATGTGGTGTTTTGAGCATAGTAGGCACCACAGCAACTTTTCTGAGTGGTACTAAAACTGCCGAAAATGCAAAGTAGAATCACCAGATCTTTCGTGTGCAATATCCCTGGTATAAGATGTTATGATTAATGTGATTTCTTTATTGGCAAACACCTCATGTCTATCTTAGTGAAGATTTAATAAACCACATATTTTTCTTACGCTTTAAATGCGTATCTTCCAATCTAACAGTGAGTGACATAATTTTATGACTGCTGACCAAATTAATTTATAGATTTTATAAAATCCCATGTTTCTTAATGGATGAAGGATAGATGGCAATATCTTGAACAAAACCTTTTATAAACTTACAGAATTTTAAATCAGCTTTCACTTTAAAAAATCCTGGAAAGGAAGTAATGCACTTGACACTGATAATTTTATATAATTTGCTGTCAGATTCACTTGGTCAGTTTTATAAAAGTATGTGAATAAGTAATCCACATAATTTTGTTCTCTGGCTTTTTTTTATGAACATATATTTGATAATGTGAGAGGACATTAACTGAGCTGGTAAATTAAAGAAACAGAATTCTAATTAGAAGTGTAGGAAAAAGCAAATGTAAAAACACTATGTGTCGTTCACGTTGAATGGTGATAATGTGACTCAGCAGCCTGTAATCTCAACATCCAGGTTATACAGATGGTTGTTACTGAACTATTCTGTGGTCAACTATGATTATCTCTCTTACTTGGAGGCTCACAGTTGAGGTAAAACTTTTAAAATGACAAATGGTATTATGCAAGTTTCTGCCAAATGACACTCTGTCTTAGAACTCTTTAACACAATTCTCATCTAAAAATGTTCCTATTACTTTTGGTCATAGAAGGTCTATGAAGGAGCTTCCATGGCCAAACATATTTAGAAACTCTCGCTTTCTAAAGCTTGATAAGGTATATTAGCATCTGAAAGCCTAAGGTTAATAAAATCAGTCATGTTTAATTTTATTTGGCCCAGTTTTTTCCAAACTTTTTGACCACAGAACCCCTTTCTCTAGCAAAACTAACATTCTATGCCGATCCAACTTAATTGCCAGGCAACTCTTCTGCACTTTACATTAAACAGACAAACTTATATTCACAGAAACATTAGGCCTACAGAATATTTTACCAGAATTTTTATACTGAAATACAGTTCACTTTTTGATGCTTTAAAAATAACTGATAAAATATTTTTATGATGAACATGACTGCAATATGAATATAGTATAGTAGTTTGCACTGGTTAACTCACACCCCAGTTCTTTTATGATGATGTTAATTATTGAATAATGTACACTCTTAATGTATAAGTGCTTTTATTTATACAGTAAACATGTTTCCATGTCATTTTGAGAATTTTTTTAATAAACATTCAAATAGCTTGCTGTAAAGTTTTGTATCATACAAAATCTGTTACATATATATATATTATGAGATGCTTCAGTTCAAATAACAGTGCAGTAATTCACCTATATCTAAAAGACTGCCAAATGATTAAATGTCAGGTATTGCACTTCTATTTTGAGTGGCAGTTTACACATTTTAAATTACATCAAGGGTAAATCAATATTATGGAAATCTTAATTTGGTCCACTTTAAATGTAATTTCAAGGATTTCTCATTTGATCTATTTACGCATGCGTCCAGAAAAAAGTAACAAAAATGTAGTCAAGTTATGTTTATTTCCAAAAAAGGCATTTATCCTAGAAGAAAGTAGAATCTGTTAATATAGTTTAAAGTCTGTGGAGTTAAAAAAATAACAAAAATTTTATCAGTTTGTGATTATTTCTTTAAGTAAAATATAAGACATCAAGTTTACTTGTAATCTTATGGCATTACTAAACTGGACAAAAACAAATACTCTTTGTCAAAAATGTGCTCTTCTTTGCCTTTTTACATTTGACAGACTCTTAAATGATATGTTTTCTTCTGCTTTTCTATAGTCTTCTGGGTAATGAATAGAAATAAATCTGTTAATATCTGGTGAATTAAATCCGATGAGTAAATTCCAAGACTTCTTTCAGGCAGGCATATTCTGTTCCCTAAGCTTTAAAATGCAACCATGGGTGTTTCATTACTTTGAAACTTGTGTTAGAAGATCCCATTTTTTTGGTCGCAATTCAATCATTTACATAATGAATTAAGCACATTTGAATAAATACATAATGTTAAAGTATCATCCAATAATATGTCTAGAGTTTATACATAATATTAGGTTAAATTAAAATATTTAGAACTGGTAAATATTTAGAAGTTATGAGTGCAGACAGGATTTTAAATGAATACTGCCCAGGTAATTTGAAGTCTAGAATGAGGTCATCATATAGTACATATATTAAACTTTCCCTGTAATTTAGAATTCTGAGCATAAAACTACTTTCCAGCAAAACACTGGGAAACTTAGGAAAAATTGGTCTGTCAGCTCATTATTTGAATGCTGGGAAATCTGTGCTTTTAATCATTTTTGCCATATCTTTCTACTTGTTTTTAAAAATACATTTTTGTGGCATATAAAGAAAGAGTCTTATATACTCAGCATTCCTTTTATCCAAGTAGCTTGGTAATATGCAGCTTTGTGTATTATTTTGCGAGTATTCAGGACTCAGGTGTGCTTCTATATATCTGAATAGTGAGTAGACATTGGCAACACTTCTACATCACTATGATGTGCTATACAGTAAGAGAAGGAGGAAGCTGGTTCCCTATGTGCTAATTATGTTTTCAGATGTGCCCCTTCTGTAACATCAGAGATGGTGGCAATTTGCAAAGCTTACAGGGAGTGAGAATTGGCCTAGATCATCATTTAATAGCAATATTCAGGGGCACTTATATTGGGAATGATTAGGTCCTAATTCTGACATATCGTGAGAGGTACCCCAGTGTTTTCCCTTAACCATAAAAATGTAAGTATGTACAGATACATGCATACAAATATTTGCATTCTAGTTGACTGTATTATTGAATCAAATTTCATTTTGCTGTAATTGTTGAATTTTCGAAGGATAACCCGAAGAGTGCTAGTATGAATATCCCAGAAACATATTTATTAAACATTCATTTTTTGAAAATTATAAGTCATTTTCAAATGATTTTAAGATTTTTCTGAACTTTTGGATGCACATTTAATTTCCCATAGCTATCTGTGGTACCCTCAGATTTATATTATGGCAAGAGATAATTTATCTTATGGTAAGTTCTAAAATATTTAGCTTCTTCATATTTAGATTCTCATTTTCTGATCAGCCTCAGTTGTAGATACCAATATAATTTTTTCTGCTATTTGTGTTTGGTTTTTCATTTATCAAAGGGAAATGTTCTCTTGGTGTTTTAAACCTTTAAGATGAAGGTTGGAAAATCTAAGCCATGAAACAGACTCAATAGTCCTTAGCTTACATGCCACATTATGGCCAACACGTTTTATTTACAAGTTTTCTTGAAGGTAGTTTGATGTTTTTTCCCCTTAAATAATAGAGAAGAAATGGGGAGGAATTAAGAAAGTATGAAACTCAGACAAAAGAAAATATCGGGGTATTTTCATTCTTGGTTAAAAAATGAAGCAAACATATGTTATAAAAACTTATTTGCACATAAGTTAAAGCCTGTTTATCCATCAGAAATTTTAAGTAAACAATAAATGTTTTAGTCAATCATTGTTGTGGTCTTAACAGGCAATAATAGGTGAAATATTGTATTTCTTTAATTTTAGATTTAATGCTTTTTGCCACTCTATCTTACTAGTGTCCTGATGGAACTCAATAAAACTGTAGCACTGTTACATATGATTTCATGAAATAACATCAGCACCACCATGCCTATATCTAGTACTGTTCCTAGTAAAATGTTGGAAAAAGTTGGCTTCTCTAGTAAAAGTATCCTACTTAGCTAATGAGATTTACTTTCTTTTTCCCCAAAATAATTTCTTTTACAAATTCTTGAATTTTTCATGTATAAATAGATCAGAAATTATATGCTTCATTCTTAAATTATGTATATATACGCTATTTTCAATACAACTTGTACACTTCTTTTAGCTACCAAAAATTTGCAACCATTTTTTACAGGAAATGTACATATTTACAGTTATCTGTAGAAGCTTATTGCAAAACTAGTTGTGCAAGTAGATTACACTGTCAATACCACATACCAATCTTTGAAGAAAATATTTACTAAAAAATAAATATTTCTGCACAGAATATTTCAAAAGCGTTATGATTTCATGCTACATTATGTGCATAAAAACTAGGAAATAGTATGTGTTTTGGTAGGTTGTTTCATTTTGTTTAAAGCATTCCAAGGTACTTACTACTTAGCCAGATGTAAGTGAGCTGCTTTATATTAGATGACTGACATTTTCAAGTGATTATACACATTCTTTTTTGAAATGTATTATTCTGTAACTGGTATACATTCTGGTGTAATACATTTTCCCACCATCAAAATTATAAAACGCAAATTTCAGCTAAAAAGCGGTAATGAGCCTTTAATTGAAATCACTAGGTGGCTAGGAGATAAAAACTAGTGATTCCTCAATATTTCTAATCTTATATAACATTTGGAAGGAAGGTGCCATATCATTTCAGTGCTATTATAAATATAGGGGCATTTGAGGAGACTATGTGGAGGAGTTAATTATAAGATTACTGATCCTTTAATTTTACCCCTAAATAAGAATGATGAAAATGTTATGGAATTTCTTATATATCCAAACAATATATGTCAGTATAAATAATACAGTTGAAATGCTAACAGTTGTGATTACTTTCAATATAAAAACATTAAAATACACAAGAAGAAATACAAAGGATAGAGGTTCAACATAGTGCTTTAAAACCACAGGTATACCAAATTATTTTACATCTTTCAAAATATAAATTAATGGAAGTCACAGGTGTAGTGACTATAATTTAGGGGATTCATCTAATTTTTGACATTAGCTTTTCAAGAATAACGATGTTAATATTGCCACTTCTCATAATAAGTACTATTTTATTGGGAGTATTTCTGTAATGTTGCTATTCTCATTTAAAAGTTTGATCATGAATGGTAGAGCAATTAAATTTGTCAGTTGATTGTATGGTTGTGTTCTTAACATTGCATTTCTATAGATGTTTTGATGTATTCATAGTAATAACATGTTTTAAATAACTTCTTGTTAGTCATCTCTCAATCTCCACTTAATAGTTTATATATATAAGCCTCACGGTAATTTCTTTTCATGCTTTTGGTTATTAATAATTCATGTCTTTCTGTTAATTTTCTGTATTTGACATTTCACCAAAGTGTGTTTGTACCACAAATGCATGTGATGAATTATTCTACTCTTGGGCACTGATCAATCACAACACCTAATACTTTACATTTAAAACACGATCCTTTTAGTTTGTAAAGTGGTTTAACATCACATCATAAGTAGAACCACAAGAAAAAACTTTGAGAACATTTGAGGAATGAGGGAGAGGGGGATGAGCTATTGCAAAGCTAGAAAACAACTGCAATGCAAATAAGTTTATGAATGGTGGACAAAGGCAATATTTAACAAATATAAGGATGCTATCTACACTGGCGTTCTCCTGCTCTGAGCAACTAGATCTTTGGGAGGCATGTGAAAATGACTTTATAAGTTTTTGTTATACAGTATGAATGTGCATGTTGGGTAAAGGAAAGCAACAGAAAGTGTTTTAGAAGACCTTAAGTAGTGCGACTGCACTGTCACCATATTCCACTATCTTTATGATGATGCACACATCACAAAATAATCTTGTAGATTTACTATAAGGAATAATGTGCTTTATGGTTTACAAAGCATTTCTACTTACTTATTTCAGAGGATCCTCAACACACCCCTTCAAGATATGTTAGATGCTACCACCATTTTTATAATTTTGGATACTGGGGCTTACTCTGGATTTGTCCCAAGAATAAATGGAGAAGGTATAATTTGAATTCAGGTTTACCACATTAAGTCCCTTGCCATTTCCATCGATCCACACAAGAGCTTAGCCAGTTTAAGACTGTGTAACATATCTGTGCAATGAGAGAGTGGTCTAGGGGTCTGAAAAGAACCATTGCAACTATAAAATTATATTTTCTGTAAAAATGGAAAATTATATACTTTCAAAATTGTATTTTGTAAATGTATTTTCAAATATCCATCTAAGGACTATATCGTAGATCTAAAGAAGGACTTCCACAGTGAGCCAGCCTTTAGAGAATACATTCTAGTAGTACTGATCGACAGATTACTTTCACATACTTGGCATGTAACATTGATTCAGAGTAGATATGTTTATAATAAGGAGATTGATACTCTCACTATTATTGTAAATAATATTACTTTAAAGCTATAAACCTAATAGTGCAAAATACAATTAAGAGAGATAAAACAATAGCT